TTCTCTACAAATAATGTCTTGGAAGCTTTTCAGTCCCATGCTTCCTTTATTTTCTGTGATCGTTCTACAAATGGGTCATATATGACCCGCTGGGGGGTAAAGGGTTAACATCCTAGATCTGTCACTATGTAAAAGGATATTGTTGATAATCAGTCATCAAACGAACACGTTTTCAAATAATTTATTTGAAAATTTAATCTACCTGATAATTGAATCCAATTATCTTTAATTCCATCCAAAATAGTAATTGTTTCCATTTTAATTGATTGACCTGGTTGATCATTACCATAAGGCTGAAAGAAAAAATTCATTAAAATAAATTATTTTGTTTAGTAAATCTACCAGTTTCTGTTGATGAGAACATGTATCACATGAAAAAGTGCTTAGAACTAAAATGAATAAATCTTGAAATTTTAATCTTCATATTATATTTAATTTACCCATCACTTTAATAAAATGTACATCTTGAACAAGAGAATTTTGAAAACCAATTAATTGAAAATTTTGTTTTGAACTTCCTTGTAAAACAAGTAAATCTGGATAACCCTTTAAAGAATAAAAAATATGTTAAAAAAAAGATTTAAATTTATTTGATTAAAAATTTACATCTTCTAAAACATCAAAAAATACGGCAAGTGTTGCATTTCTTGCTGCCAAAATATATTCTTCATCAGTTTGAGGTGTAAATGTTCGATTATAAGTACAATGTAAATTATTATCAGTGCCACATGCACGATTTTGAAGAATAATCGAAACAGTACTATCATTTGAACTAAAATTTAAAGTTTTATTTTTAGTGTTTTTTGTTTATCAATTATTGATGATATAACAATATCGTGTCATTTTATTTGATAGTATATAATCGATAAAACTCTACTAAATGATAATCTTTTTATCAAACATTTTATTATGAATATCATTCCATTGTATTAATTGTGAGAGTGTGAAACACTTAATTTTTGTTCAAAAATCATGTGACAAATATGATTAACATTTCTTGTCATCATGTGACATTAACTTACATATCTCAAGAGATTTTGCTGAAAATTTCCTGTTCATACTAGAAGAAATTTCATTATATTTCGTACTTTTACTAGACAGAAATTCCATTGATAATCATTGTGAATTATTAATGACTTTCATTGAATTCTTCATCACTATCTAATATGATTTTCATCTTTATGTCAGCCATTATTATCATTAATCATACAATGCATGCATCAGAAGAAATAAAAAACAACACTCGAATTTGTAATCGATCAATCCTTTATGAAAAATAAGTATTGGACATGGTAGGAAAACTATCATTATTTTATTGCAATTTCTTTAGAGAAAATCTTCAAGATATGATCATTGTTTTAAATAGAATATGTTCGATAATAAATGCCATGAACATTTCGAGTTAAACTAATTGTTATATTTCAAACTAGAGGTGGCGAAGCTACAAGAATTGAATATTTTTTTCTCTTTACATTAGGTTTATAGATTTGTGCAGTGCATCATAATTCTTGCTGAAACATCAATTGTTTTCACTACCTTCGATCACTAATAATAATATTTTCTTAGTCAAAGAGATTTAGAAAATGTTTTTGAGAAAACATCGAGTTATGTACAAGTAAATATTGAATCATACGTACCAGAGGTCCAAACAGGCCTCGTTTTTTAGGCCTGTACGGCCTGTCAAGTTTTTCGAGCGAATACAATAATGATGACAGACTAGAAACCATATATTCAAAGAGGGCACTAGGTCTATTACTCAACCCGATCCTGATCCGACTGTCATAGGCATCACCCATGGTTTTCCGACTAGTGAAAGTCAGAGGTTCAAGCAATTTTTGGCCTGTCTGGGCCTGTCACTTTCATTAGTCAGAAAACCATGGGTGATGCCTATGACAGCTGGGTCAGGATCGGGTTGAGTAATAGACCTAGTGCCCTCTTTGGATATATGGTTTCTAGTCTGTCATCATTATTGTACACACTCGAAAAATTTGACAGACCCTGACAGGCCGTACAGGCCTAAAAAACGAGGCCTGCTTGGACCTCTGGTAGACGCGCAGACACAAAAATTAAGGCAAATATAAGAAGAT